ACTGCAGGGAGAATAAACCATGAGGGGCTTACAATAAAACACTACAGGGAGAATAAACCATGAGGGGCTTACAATAAAACACTACAGGGAGAATAAACCATGAGGGGCTTACAATAAAACACTGCAGGGAGAATAAACCATGAGGGGCTTACAATAAAACACTGCAGTGAGAATAAACCATGAGGGATGGAGCAGTGTTTTATTTTAAGATAAACAAAAACCATGAGTCTTTTATTTCTCACATAAGACTTAATAAAGCATATATAACTTTATTTGAATATGGAAATGGTGTTATCTGAGACGAGGCACCGGAGGGAGGTGGGTCTAGGGTAGGGCTGCAACGATACAGGAAGGTCACGATACGATACGCATCTCGATATTCTGGTCACGATACCATACGTATCTCGATACGCAATGATAAAAAAACAAGACTTAAAGCATGTCAAGATTGAACCTTTCATGATTTTGGAACAGTCAAAATTATTTTATAATAACAAGACTACTGATGTTGTTCAGCTTCAAAGTGGAACTTTCTCTAACTTTCCTAAAAAACAATACAAAGTTCAAACACCAGAAAATAATTAATGTGCTCCACCAGTGATACAACGTCAACGAATTTTGATGCAATGGTCGAAGAAATTATATCTGAATTTTTTGTTTTATCAGGAATAATATATTCCAATATCGTGTTACCTTAGTTGCAGCTTTTACTTTATATATATATAAAATTATAAGAACCACAAGTGTAGCATTTTGGTACTGGTTATTGCTGTTGCAGGACTTCCCGTGTTACAAGTATTTCGATTGCCAAAACGTTATGTTGACATATATTAGCCAAATTGCCACAAATATGACTTTTGACGGGTCAAAGTAGGGCATATTTAATATATGTATCCATTCTCTAGCAACTAAAGTTAGTTTCAATGCGTAAAAGCAGTAATCTGACCGTGGTTGCTGTATCTCTTCACACACGATTTCACATAACTTAATGAAAACAATATTCAATGAAATTTTGAGTAAAATTAATAAAATGCGGTGATCAGCTGATAATGTTTAATGAGATGGGGAAAAACATCTGTCGGTGTAAAACCTGAGCTTATTAAAAATGTAAGTATGTTTTTGGGAGCCATGCGTTACCGCGCGCTATAACCAAATTAGCGGTTTATTGAAAGGCACAATAGCGAGGAAACGCTGTACCGTATCGTGGCGTATCGATAAATGGGCCCACGTTTATCGTATATCGTATCATGGGTCAAGTATCGCAATGCATCGGAATATCGGTGTATCGTTTCACCCTTAGTCTAGGGTACATACTAGAAGGATGAAAATAGACTTGATGACCGAGGCTGGTGAGGGTCACTCAATTGTATCACATGAGCAGGGCATTGGTAGATCAGCAAGCATCGTATTTGTAACTACTACTGTTGTTGCTACAGACTGCTAGTGTACTTATATCATAACGTCCAATACGATTCCACAGGTAAATGAATACAAAACTAGCTCTTTTCCTTGTACACCATTTACATTGTCATTGACCATGTTGACATTGGAAGCTGCCGAACAATAAACTTTATTCTTCCTGTCATCGCTCTTTAGAAACTGCTGCTAGAATATCATTGACACTAACCGTTTAATTTTTAATGAAAATGTCGAAAGAACGGGTTACAATAACTTACATGACTTTGTGCTTCTGCTACTAATTTTCCTGCCCTTTCCAAAGGCAGACGTTGAATGTTGTGAATGTCCCTGTTTCACATTGTTTGTTTTCCTACCAAGGTTATTTTGCACACAAAATTCTGTAAACCAAGATACAACAGAGTGTGGCCTGACCTTGATAACATTGAAATCAGTGTCGGGATAAACATGTAGAATATAGGGCTGGGACGGGTACTCGGGTCGGGTGGGTACTGAGAAGGACCCGGGTACCCACAGGACTACCCGGACACATGGTTAGTCACGTGATATATTGTTTAATGACAAAAATTATCCAGGACTACATGGTTACACTACAAGTCAGTAATGTTCGCATTTCTTTCTGACTATAAACCCATTCCTTCTGACCATAACATGTTTGAATAAAGATAAAACTTCCGTCAACTTCAGTGTATGCATGACCAGTTCGTCTTATATGAGTATCTAAATACATGTTGCCAGGGCTACGGTCAAACTTTTCGCAATCGAACATTTTGTACCTATCTCTTGAGACATATAGTGCATACCCTGGTAGGGCTGGGTAATAGGGGATGGGTACCCGGGTAGATAATTTGCACACTTCCCAGCCCTAGTAGAATATGATGTAGTTTGTACAATGAATGCTCCCTACATGGCTTGCTCCTGTAGCAGGACGTGGAGTCATCCCACAGATGACATCCTTACCGTGTCAGCTTGCTGACGGGGTTAACCACTTTGGTCATGTGGACAAGGCGTCCGACCTGTGATCAGAAGGTCCGTGGTTCGAATCCCATGACGGGTCTCTGAAATTTTATGGCTGCTACACTCCCATGATTAAATGGTATCTTGAATAACCACTAAGAGTGGGCCCAGTGCATTAGCGCTGCCAAAATTAAAGGAGGACACAAAAACGTTTCTATCTCAACCATACACAACAGTATGAATAAATACATAAGTCATCATGATATATAATCAACATAATCATGTTTCACAACCACTGTCCAATGTTACAGGATAACACGAGGAAGCTGGAACTAAACAAGGATACAAAACTATATTAAGTTTCGTTTATTTAGTGTGTAAAGACAAAGCTCGTGAATAGGGATGAAACACTCCACAAAGCGTTGTGCCCGTGAGACATGAACAGAGGGACAAAAAACATAAAAAAGGGTATTATGTGGAGATCATGTTTTACGGAAGGTAGAGTAATCGTTAACCAAAACAAGATGAGTACGACTTACAATTGATTCAGAAATATATCCAGCCAATCAATTCTTCAAGATCGGCCTATCTTATCTCCCACTGACGATAAAACATAATCCGCTTGTCATCTCTTTTAAAAAACTTTCGAACCCATGAAGGCCTTCGAATCGGTTGGTTTGACGAGAAGAGGAAACGATCTACAAAATCCACAAGATGACCACCGATCCAGTACCCAACAACACAGATACACAAGACAGAGGTGAGTGGAATCAAGGATCGGGACACTGGTAAAACGGCCGCACAGTATGACATGTAGGATATGTATGTTTCTCCTGTTTCACTTTTTCTCATCAAAAGCACATCTCATTTCTTTAACATAAACAATGTTACATAAGTTATAGTTAAGATACTGTATCTGAAAATTACATTTTGCATTTTCTACATGTTCTAAGCTTTTAACATGTTAAAGGATTAGACAAATATTTTGAAAATATTTGTAAGTTAATTTCACACCTTTCTACCATGCGTCTCAGAAGCAGAGTTTGACTAAGACATGTCCTTTTATGTGGGTCCAGGGTCCCTGATGGCATGTGTATGTTTTCTGGCAATATTTGTAAACATTCACTTGAAAGTTAAAACTAAAGAATAGGGGTTCAAGATAATGTAGGTACCTAACGCTCCAGTCCTGAAAAATAATGTTACATAATTGTGGTATCAGATGTTTTTAAACTAAAAAAAAATGATGACAGCCACTTCTATAAGCAAACTGAACATGCTGAAAGCCCTTGCAAACTGTTTGAACACTTTGTGTAACTGTTAAAGCAAAAGCAATGTGAAAGCTACTATGATTTAAACACTTAAAACAATAAAATATTATGCTACCTTTTAGTACCAACTTATCCAAGTACTACCTTACCAATTATTATTATGTGATGTCATCTTGTTTTATTATTACTTTATATCATGGTCATGTTATCTGTGCCACAGTTGGTGGTTTTCAAGAAATAATGTGTATCACTAAACATGGAGTTTCCTTGGTATAAATCGTGATATATGAGAGTCAAGAGAACTTTCGGTCAATCTAAGAATGAAAATTGGGGTCCACTGTACCGTAAAATGTGTGATAACTTATGCTTATGATCATAGCTCGGGAATATCAAGAGGGCAGTCTGTCATGAACTGATGTTGTGACCCGGTGCTTGGCCGTAGAATGATAAATTGTCCACCAGATGAGAAGCAGTTTGGACAGCCACCCCAATAACTAAGGCCATTCGCTTTTATAATAGTTGGTCGGTTGTCAAACCAAGTATAATTTGTGCTCCTGACCATGCTGACAGTGACACACTTTCAAAATCTTATTTCGACTTCTTTTTAGTATAGCCTACACAGGAATTGGGCATGAAGTTGTATCTGTATGCCTTCAGAAAATGCTCGAAAATGTGTCCCTCCGAGTCAAATGCAGCAATTATTTTTTTATGAAATTTGCAATTCTAGGTTGGTTATATGCACATGTATCCAAGCAACTACACACTAATCTTCGCTATTCGACTGGAGTAGCCTGGGTAATTATTTGCGATGTTCAAGGTAATGCTCCCTATCAAAACAACTCAGAGTCTCCTCAAATGGTAGTGATTGAATCCCCCTAGACTACAGGATCGCAAAGGGGTATTTGACTGGCAAAAGGGGTGTCGATTCAATGAGGCATGATCGCAAAAGGATGATTGATCGACGTTGAACGTGATATCAATGAAGCGAGATCCCCACAACAGGGAAACATCTCTAACATCCGACTAGTCCACATCTGATTTAAAACTTGTGATTTATGCAAAATAATTAAATATTAGGCCTAGGATTCTATAAAATAACATGTCCCCCTCAATTTCCTATTCTCGGATGACCGGAGTAGCGACTATCCCTGCATAGCCAATAAGATCAGCCTGGTAAACTGCAGTCTTGCCAATACTTCCCCAGAAATCTAACATGCTGTCATCGCTTCCATATACAGCAAGCTACAAATAATCACATTTTGTTTATGTATTTTCACGCACCTGTCACAGAGTCAGCCATGTTGTTTACCGGTACTTCCTTTTCCGTATGCTCATGCGCACTGATATTTATCTAAAAATAAATAACCACACGCATGCGTTCTATGACCCAAAACAAACTCGCACATTGCAGAAGCAAGCCTGTGTACTTTGACCCGCAAGCTCCACTTTAAGTATAAGTTGGGCCAGTCATGATTACAATGCTTCGGCATTTGAGGAAACCACTGGTAAGTATTTAAGTCTATGCTATATGGTTTAGAAAGTTTATTTTTGGACATGTGCAACGATTTGGAGATGTCAGAGGATTCTCTTGTGAGAGGTGAATGTTTTGATCCAGTAAAAGACTGGTAGATCTTGCAGGACTGATAATAACAAGGTAAACTATGTTTTGGAGAAGAATAAACTTTTGAACCTGCTTAGGGGGGTAAAAGGGCAAGTGCCGCTGGGAATAGTACACTCGGGGCCACACTTGACAACTGCGACTCTTTAATGGGACATGGTAAACTTTATGTGAATCTGTTCACCACCCAATAGTATCATTAAAAGTTATAAAACCATATATTTAGCTAAACAAACATATTTAGTGTCGAAAAATACATATTAAAACTGGTCCCTCGTTCTTTTAGGTTGTTTAGGTTAGTTGTGTTGGAGTTAGGGTAGGATACCCACAACTCTGAACTACTCTACAGTGTTAGAAACTAACAGTTCCAGTACACTAGTCCTTATAATGATAACATATAGCAAAACCCTTAAAAATGGCAAATTTCTACTAGTCCTTAGGATACCTTTACCATTGGGCAGTCTGGCAAGGACTACAGGACTAGTGCCCATTTCTAACGCTGCTCTATCGTTAGCCCTTTGATCCTTGTAGGAAAGTTCTAATTCATATTCTATCATGTCTATATAGTGACTCCCACATTCCATGTTCTTCAAAATGTTTGTATGAGGATCCTGATAGTAAGGGATGGGAGTTCACAAGTCGGTAAAATTTGGGGCCTTTAGTCAGAAGGCAGTATTTTTTCAGCTTAGTAAAATGTTGCAAACCGGTTTTTGCAAACCGGTTTTCCCTATCGTATTTAGTCAGTAAATTTGAAACGTGTCTTCAAAGGAATTATATTTTGTTTATAACTTTGAAATATGAACAACACCAGAAGACAGTTGCATTACTAAAGATGCAGTAACATGAAATAAAATTAGAATAAAATCAGCATGAAGGAAAGCAGAACTATTGGGAATCATTCACCTGAGTAGAAATCAAATGCTAGTACATGAATCATGTTAATTGGATATATGTTGAATGCGGCTTGTGAGTTCTGTAGGAATCATGAAGACAGATAGTTCTGCTTTCCTTTCATTACTGTAATTCCTGCTTTGCAAATACCAATTGACTGGTTCTATTGTGTTGTTGGATTTAGTCATGTTTGACATCTACAAGATTTTAGAACAATTAAGATAAACAGTAATGGTTTTTTTTACGCTAAGCAGTTTTTTATGGACATCGTAGGGTAATCTTTTACATTTATGACAGATTTTTTTTAAATTTGACCCGAAACAGTGCAACCCCATCAGCATGATCAGGACTGACTTGTATTATACTGAGTGGGTCAATCTGTGTCTACTATGCAACTTATCATTTATGTCAGGCTTTTTTACAAGTAGTTTTTATCCAGTAGGTGAACAAGTGATGTAAATCTGATTCATCGTCTCATTCATGACAAAAAAATACGAACATTTTATTTCCCAACTATTTACGCATGTATGTGAAGGGGACACTTATCTCTGACAATTCTCCGGGACGGGATGTTTTCTTTGTTATTGTTTTTCTTCCGTGGCTTCCCGGATCATATCCCAGAAATCACAACTAGTTTGTGACCTATTCTCTGCCACCTGTAAGAGCATTTGTCCCTTTTATTGATAGTAAGGGCGTGTTGTCACATAAATGCAGTTTTTTCTTGGAATTAATAAGAAAAGTACCTTGGAAAATCTCTTGTATCCACGAATACTATAACAAACTACAGATAGGATCATTCAATAACTTCAATACAAATACAATTACAACACTTGAAAAGAGGAGAGGTTTTGAAAATTAAAGAACAGTTTACTATATTGCAAATATTATGAAATGTACGAGGATGCATGATTAGATATTCATCAATAAGAAGATGAGATAATTAATGAGAAAACAGAACAGCTACGGTGACAAAAAGGAACAAAACAACTTTCCACATGACTGCAGTCAATTGAATATCGTAACAGGATTTGAAAAATGGATGTCATATATTTGGTATATATTCTTCAAATTGTAGGCATGCATTAAGCAAGATGGCATGAGAAAGGACAAAACCTACAATCTCATTAAAATCAGATTTTAGTTCTCGCTACCGCTAAACAAAGACCTGAGGACATCCCATTACGGGTCACGTCAGACTGACCTTGCACTGACTTTGACCATCCAATAGAATGACCAATCAGAAGGCAGCTTTCTCCTGCTTTACGGCACTAATTTAAAATTGACGACTATGCTTCGAAACATATTTTGACAAATTCTTGATTACAAATTTGAAATCTGAACAAAAGAACGTTCTGGAATGGCTAATAGATGGTCTGGATTGTATGGATTCAGTCGTTAAACCCGTAACTATCGTTTGGAGTTAAAGTTTTCGAGGTTACATGATTAGAAGTCACATTCCGACTGTCACTTTCATAATCTGGTAAGCGATGCTCTGATTGGTCGGATGAAAGGTCGTTCTGACGTAACCCGTAATGGGATGTCCTCAGATCTTTGTTTAGCGGTAGCGAGAACTAAGTCGTAGTCGAAACTGAGTCATGTACATGTATACCCGAAAGAGACAGATTGAGAGAAGAAATTATGTGTCTGTATCACTCCTTAACATTTGTTAAATTATATCATCAGTGGCTATTACAGCAGTGTTTGAAATAATTTGAAGACCTATCAAGTGAGGAAGGTGGCCCATATATGTTGCCTGCCCATCTTCAAAGTTCCCTGCCCGCATTCAGGCAAATCGCGCCTTGATTCAGTTGAAATAATGCAAGCATGTACTTGAGAATGTACAAGGAATTATAATAAAACTGAATATGTAAGTAGTCTTAAAATTATCTGCCATACAGTCGGGCAGTTGGGGTAAAATTTCATGCAGCCTGACAGAAACAATACCAGCCATGGGCAGGTGGACAGTTACAAAGGTTCTGCCCTCTATTATTATATCGAAGATCAAAGTGGGTTTATGAAGGGCAGATACATTGGTGAAGACTTTGGTACAGGACTTTTGTTTTGGCATAATGATTTACGCAGAATTATAGGAATATCCAAGGGTTGCTGATCCTAATTGAATTTGGAAAAAGTCTGTCCTTCTGCAGAATGACAATTCATAGATAAATGTTTTGACCTGTAATATCTCTCTAGGGGTGTTTTTTATCTCTTCACGTCTGATGTACTTTCATGGTTGTTTGCTGACGATGTCTCATCTGTAGCTCACACTGCTTTTCTGCTTCAAAAAAAAATTAATGTTTTTGAACTTTTTTGTGCAGAAACTAAAATGATGGTGTTTAGAAATGGAGGTTCCCTCCGCAGAAATAAAAAGTGGCTCCATAGAAGTTGTCAACATGAACAGATATCTTGGTATTGTTTGGTAACGTTAATTGTCATGGACAAAGGCTCAAGCATGTTTAGTAGAAGAAGCAAATAAAATCAGTATGCTCAATTAACATCAACCAGAAACATTATGGAAATTAGTCACAATATTTGACATTTTCGATGCTATGATCATGACGATCACATTTATTCTATGCTAGGAATCTGAGATATTGGGAACCACTTATTGTAATTTCAGTGAGAGTTTGAACTCAAGATGCTGTAAATCATTATCTGAGATTAAAGAAGGATACTAATAACATTATGGTCCTGGGAGAGTGAGTCTCCACGCAGTATCATTATACCTCCGGAGAGGTTAAGTACAGGTACAGACTCATCCAGCTTTGACTTCCCCACCAATCAAATGAAATGATTAAAACTCTTCATGATAATGGTGATAATGCTTGGGCATCTCATACAAGTAATATTTTATTTAGATTTGGTTTTGGAATTATATGGCTGTCTCAAGACATTGTGGTTGCATCTCATCATTTATGGCCATCTTTAATGATGACTACTTCTCCGGCATCGTTCCCTCGACACTTCATCAAAATTAGTTATTGTTTTCAGTTTAAATTGTTATCATGTATCTTTAATATGTATCAGCTATTCCCAACTGAGAAGAGAATGTTTGGCTTATCATCTCATCAATCCACCAACAACAGAAGCCTTTTAGACAACCAACATTCATTAGAGTATGAACCTTCATAGCGTGAGGGCCAAACTGTATGAACGTCAGCATGGTCAGAGCTTGTGATGACGCTCATACAATGTTTGGCCCTCACTCTATGAAGGTTCATACTCCAATGATCTCACACAAAGTGAAAGTCAATTCTTATGATTTTTTACATATCACCATTTATTTTACCTTTGAAGGATTTAGGTCTAGATCTAAACACAATTTTATTTAGTGTGTGTGACATCATGTTTACACTGACAGTCATACAACAACCAGCTATGTCAGGGAATAAAATAGTTCCTCAAAAAGGGAGGTGATGTGAGCACAACTTGCTCTACAGGAACATCTGTCGTAGTTTGTTTACAACAAATGTATTCAAATAATGAAAAAAATTGAAGTGTCTTAATCATAATGATCAGAAACACTGCTTCTGTATGTTTTCGTGATAGGGAATTCCCAGGGTTTCCCCAGGGAATGTGGAAGTAGTCCGTCAGTGTTAAAGTCATTTCAAGAATACAGTTTTGTCAAATTGTGTTGTTCAATTTCGCTGTCATATGACCAACCTCTAGTCCATTGGAAAAGCTGTATATGGTGTAAACTTCATATTTAAAAATTATGTAAAAATATCTGCCAACAGTATATAGACCAATGATTTATCCTAATGAAAAACAAACATTTATCATGTTTATTATGCAAACATTTTTACCTGCCAGTGTATAGTTCATTGATGCATGATTTTGAAAAGATGATTGGTATATTCTTCATATCATACATCCAGTGCAGTTTGAATCCTAGATTCCCTCTGATTTTTGTTTTGGTCTGTTGGCACCAAACGGTCATTGGTTGAAGACCCGAGTGAGTTCCGCCTTTCCTCAACTCTAAGCTTACAGTTACAGTGTGATATGAGTGAAGTACTGTTGAGAGTGGTGACTGAAGTGAGGTACTGATGCTGTGTGTGGTTGTCAGGGTGACCATGCTGGCCTGATCCTGTCCAAGATGCAGAGGGAGCCGAAGATCAAGCCCATTGGGCGGATGTTTGCTGTCCAGGACTCCCTGCCCAGACTCCCCCTCCCGAGCGTGGAGCAGACACTGCACAAGTATCTGCGTACAGTACAGCCACTGGTCAGTGCTGAGGACTACCGCCATACGGAAAAGGTGGGTTTGGCTTCAGATCTGTCCTGTATTTTGACATGGAGATGGCCTAATGTGTTAGTTGATAAATAATCAATGTTACTGGATTTGTTGATAGTTGAGATTGTGAATGTAATTCTAGTTCCTGAAATTTGTGAGCGTGATATAATGTATTTATGTGCATGATGTACAACACACATTCTTAATGCAAAGATACAAATCCTGTCAAGAATGTCCTTGTCTGTCAGACACCAAGAATTGTTTATACAAGCCTTGCCTTTTATCCTGTTTATTGTTTATCTTGTTTATTGATTTCTGCATGGAGGCTATCACTGAACAGATTTTAGGTATAACTTGCTAGTGTTGGTTTCCAGCTCGTTGAAGCCTTTAAGAAGTCTCCTGGTCCTGAGTTGCAAGCTCTCCTGGAAAAAAGGGCAGGTGAAAAAACAAACTGGGTGAGGATGGCACAAAACTCATTTTTATGTCATGTGCTCCATAATGTTTCATCCATTAAGTACACTTCTGGTCATTATCAGAACTGACCAGTACCACATATATTATATCATTATAATATTATAAGTACCATACTGCTCATTCGTAGAATTGACGAGTACCGGTATGACATTGTTGCACCGCCATTATTCAAAGATCTTGTGTTGTATGTTCAGATTTTGGTGCCAAATATAACATAACATAAACATAACCGAGATGAGAGAATTCCAGTGCAATATTAGCCAATGACAATGCAGGATTAGGAGGAAATCCATACGCTGCTTACATGAAGTGACATATTCCTGTTTAAGTAAGTGGAACGATAAGGTGAACACAAGTTTAGCAATATTTGACAGAACATTTTTTAGAGTAAATCGACCAGGATGGTAACAATTCATCATGACACCATAGAATATTGTTTGCCCATGTATAAGATACGGTTGTAATTTGCAATCAGTTCATATTTGACTGGTTTTCATGCGTATGATACGCCAATACGACAACTGTCTGGAACACTACTTGCATCAATTTGTCTTCCACTGGATACTTCCCAACCCGTGTCCTGAATTTCGCTCCCTATTGTAAAAGGCTGTTGTTCACTGCCCTGTTGACTGTATACGACTTTGTCCCAGCTGTCCGACTGGTGGAAGGATGTGGCGTACCTCAGTATCCGCACACCGGTTGTCATCAGCTCCAACCCAGCTGTCATCTTCCCCCGCCAGGACTACACCGACAAGAAGGGCCAGCTCAGGTCAGTCCAGGGTGGTGCTAGACAGAGTCAGGAACTCTGCAGAGCCGTAGCAAGTCTTGGAATGGCATTTAACTCCTTGCCTCGTTTTGCCCTTTGCTGGTCACCAGTCAGCTCTAATTAACTGTTGGCTTCCCTTGCTTCAACCTGTGTTAACTTGTGTTTACATGTACATATATATGCTCATTGCATCTCACATTTATTCACCTGATGAAGGAGTAAGCATATACTGCAAAATGCTGTCTTCCTGAGGCAAGGGAGTTAACTGACTGTAAAAGTCAGATTCCACCCTAGTCGACCTAGGCTGGGATTTCGTGGCTCAATTTTAGCGCCTTCAGTGGCTATTACGAGTTATGTCCCTTCTATGTCCCTCTTATTGACCAATCAGATTCCACCTCTCATATTACTTGCATTGGCTTCAAAATGGCAATGCACAGTCAAGACTATCTGATCGACAATCAAAGTCTATATTGAAATAAAATGGGTTTAACTTTGCGAAGAGCATCAAATCACGTGACCACCTTGATTAAAAACAGGAATAGCTTTGGAAAATATCTGTTGACGCCGAGTTGGCGATACACATGCTTTGTAAATCCTGCAACTGAGTGAAATCCTTATGACAGTTTACGAACCAGATTTTGATTGGACTATGCATTGACTCGTTAATCCAACCAAAATGTATCTCAGCAAGGGTGGAAACTGGACTTTTGTAGTCAGTTTACTCTCTTGCCCAAGGAAGATGCATAATATAGAAGTTGACATTCATAAATTCTCTCTCTTCTGCTGATTTGTTTGTTTGGTATATTTTGCTATCAACCTTTGCAGTATCTTGAGCATATTTATGCCTGAGGTCACAGATTAATTCGAATAGTTTCTGTCCTTTCTAAGCAGGGAATTGCTTAATTGTTTTAATAAGTTAGACCGTCACATGATACATCATCTGTTAGCTGACCCTAGAACTAGGAGTATGTTTGTTGTTCAATCCCAAACTCATTATTCCAAGGGGGCCTGTCAGGTAGCCTAGTGGTTAAAGCGTTCACTCGTCAGGCCGAAGACCCGGGTTCGTTTCCCGACATGGGTACAATGTGTGAAGCCCATTTCTGTTGTCTCCCGCCGTGATATTGCTGGAATATTGCTAAAAGCGGCGTAAAACAATACTCACTCACTCACATTATTCCAGGTATGTGAAAGTGGCCTTTAAACAATTGAGGCAGAACCAGACCATCCAGTAATTGATATTATGCATAAACTCAAACGTCATCAGGACAGGATGCACAGCACCCTGTCAACTAAGCCTCCTCATACGACAGTCATGCATCGGTAGCAGGAACACATGAGCCCCAGAGTGAGGGAGACTGAACGCCGGATACAGCCACACCGTTTGGGGTTCATTCTTCGCAGATTTAGCAGTTTTGTCGCCTTTTCATTGTAGCTGCAAGACTGTTCAAGTTACTGTTATGACTAATATTTTCTGTGGGCAGTTTCTGCTAGGTATTCACTGATATTTAAATAAGATAATGTACAAGATTAAAATTTTCAATTTCCAGATTTGCTGCGAAGGTGATTGCTGGTGTCATTGATTACAAAGTGATGATTGATGAGTAAGTAAACTTATAGCTGACATATTCTTAACTCTAATCTCTCGTGAGATTTGATTGTTATAGACCACTGAAAGGGAATCAGTTTACCAAAATGGCTGCTGTTTTCACATGTTGTATGAATGTGACTGTGTGTTCTGCAGACAGACTTGCAGCTCTGTGTGGAGGGTTGTATGAATGTGACTGTGTTCTACAGGCAGACTTGCAGCACTGTTGCAGCTCTGTGTGGAGGGTTGTATGAATGTGACCATGTTCTACAGACAGACTTGCAGCACTGTTTCAGCTCTGTGTGGAGGGTTGTATGAATGTGACTGTGTTCTACAGGCAGACTTGCAGCACTGTTGCAGCTCTGTGTGGAGGGTTGTATGAATGTGACTGTTCTACAGGCAGACTTGCAGCACTGTTGCAGCTCTGTGTGGAGGGTTGTATGAATGTGACTGTGTTCTACAGGCAGACTTGCAGCACTGTTGCAGCTCTGTGTGGAGGGTTGTATGAATGTGACCATGTTCTACAGACAGACTTGCAGCTGTGTTGCAGCTCTGTGTGGAGGGTTGTATGAATGTGACCATGTTCTACAGGCAGACTTGCAGCAGCGTTTCAGCTATGTGCAGAGGGTAGTGTGACCTGTGACCTGTGACCATGTTCTTCAGGCAGACCCTTCCGGTGGAGCTGCTGGGTGGGAAGCCTCTGTGCATGATACAGTACTACACCATCCTGGGCGGCTGCCGCGTCCCGGGGGTGAAGAGGGACTCCCACGTCCTATACCCATCCACTGAGCCCAACCCACCCAGGCATGTCACCATCATGCACAAGAATCAGGTAGGAGATGATGACATAGAGAATCACATTGGGGGTATTATAGTAGCTTAGCAGAATTTGTGTCACTAGTTCAGAATAAAAAAAATATATCAGAAATTGATTATGAAGATATTTATATAGAGACTTTAATCATAGTGATTGTATCTTTAGTTTGATGATAATTCTGTACCAAGCAACCCATGAAGATCCGGGTTTGAAGTCAACTTAAGCAACGCATAAAGATCCTGGTTTGAAGTCAACTTCAGCAACCCATGAAAATCCGGGTTTGAAGTCAACTTCAGCAACTCATGAGAATCCGTGTTTGAAGTCAACTTCAGCAACCCATGAAGATCTGGGTTTGAAGTCAACTTCAGCAACCCATGAAGATCTGGGTTTGAAGTCAACTTCAGCAACCCGTGAAAATCTGGGTTTGAAGTCAACTTCAGCAACCCATGAAAATCCTGGTTTGAAGTCAACTTCAGCAACCCATGAAGATCTGGGTTTGAAGTCAACTTCAGCAACCCATGAAGATCCAGGTTTGAAGTCAACCACAGCAACCCATGAAGATCCGGGTTTGAAGTCAACCACAGCAACCAATGAAGATCTGGGTTTCTGAAGATGTGGGTTTGAAGTCAACTTCAGCAACCAATGAAGATCTGGGTTTGAAGTCAACTTCAGCAACCAATGAAGATCTGGGTTTGAAGTCAACTTCAGCAACCCTGAAGGTCCGGGTTTGAAGTCAACTTCAGCAACCCATGAAGATCCGGGTTTGAAGTCAACTTCAGCAACCCATGACGATCCGGATTTGAAGTCAACTTCAGCAACCCATGAAAATCCTGGTTTGAAGTCAACTTCAACAACCCATGAAGATCTGGGTTTAAAGTCAGCTTTAGCAACCCATGAAGATCCGGGTTTGAAGTCAACCACAGCAACCCATGAAGATCCGGGTTCGAAGTCAACCACAGCAACCCACGAAGATCCGGGGTTTGAAGTCAACTTCAGCAACCCTGAAGATGTGGGTTTGAAGTCAACTTCAGCAACCCATGAAGATCCAATTTGAAGTCAACTTCAGCAACAGTGAAGATCTGGGTTTGAAGTCAACTTCGGCAACCCATGAAGATCTGGGTTTGAAGTCAACTTCAGCAACCCTGTAGATCTGGGTTTGAAGTCAACTTCAGCAACTCTGAAGATGTGGGTTTGAAGTCAACTTCAGCAACCCATGCAGATCCGGGTTTGAAGTCAACTTCAGCAACCCTTGAAGATCTGGGTTTGAAGTCAACTTCAGCAACCCATGCTTTTTGTAAGAGGTGACTAAAGGGATCCTGGAGTCGTTGTTGACATTGAGTAGTGGATTGTCTGGTCCAGACTTGATTATTTACAGACCGCTGTCATATAGCTGGAATATTGCTGAATGCAACATTAAACAGCAAACAAACAAATTCTGTAGCAAGCTATCATAGCAGATCATGGTTATGAAATCATTGTCATGTTGCTTTGAAACACCTTAATAGGTAGCTAATGCAGTGCTAGTGCTTGTAGTCATGGTCTAGTACCCACTGGTCTAATTTGACTGAAAGGAATGTACAGTAAAATACGGTTATAACGAACACGCTTATAACGAACTGACGGATATAACAAACTTACTTTTTTGTCCCTAAACTTTGCTGTAGTTATGCTGTATATATGCTTATAACGAAATTCTGTTATAACGTACTAAAATTAGTGGTCCCTTTGAGTTCGTTATGGCCGTAGTTTACTGTAGACTTGGGCTTTAACCTGGACTTCGATGGTATCTCCAGTTTGATGGCTAGTTGATACTGAGCTATAACATGGTGGTTGAACATTGTTGCACCTTGTTCAGAGCTCCAGATAAGCTTTTGGTGTTGTTGGTATTTTACCCATGCATTTTGAAATCATTGGGTATCAGTAATTCTATCTGGGTATTCAAATTTCTGTTACTCACTAGTTTTTACACATGTGGGTATTCAAGTTGAATATTTAAAAACACTATTCATCTAGTCCCTGCAAACTGGTGTCGTGTGGGATCGAGAGCTTTATAGGACTAAAAAATACCACGATACTTCCACAAGAAAGTGTGATGGCAAATGATCATGATGTAACTGTCATCGTGGAGTTTGGCAAGGTTGACGGAATGCCCGTTTACAATTTCAAAATAAGTTGCTGATTTGCTAATTGAATACACAGGGTTACTTCACAATGTTTTGATGATACGCACAAGTTTTATTTTTGTAGCGTATCTGTAATGTTCGTTGTGTATTTGATACGCTTGGATTTTATTTTACGCAGATATGCAGCTTATCTGGAGCACTGCCTTGTTGTCAGTTAATGGAGCTGGTTTCCCTTGGTTTGTCTCTAGCAACATTAGCCTGGCATGCCTTCATTGTTCAATGTTACTATAGATTCTTGCTTGTGTACAGCTGTTCTCGCTGGATGTGTACGGCAATGACAACCGGCCCCTCAATGTGGAGCAGCTCTACCAGCAGCTGACGAAGATCGTGGAGATGTCCCCCAACACCGCCCCCTCCATTGGCGTCCTCACCATGGGGGACAGGACCAGCTGGGCCAAGACCTACAAGAAGCTGGTCAAGGGTGAGACGACATTTGCTACATTGTGGGAAGGCTGGGTTACAGCACGTCCCCAGCAGGCAGTGATTGTTGTACCAGGCAGATAGGTGGAGTAGGTGGTCGTGAAAGTAGGCCTCGGAGGTAACATAGCCATTGTACTGTATTTGACCCTTCGTCCTCACTAGCACATGACCATCACGTGATGTAAACATCGAATCTTGCAGTCGTCAGCCATGAACGCCTTATCAGACGGAAAAGCCGCAGTAACTGACTCTTATTTCCCCAATCTATTCAGGTTTGAATTCAATATTTACAAGAATATTTTTAGGAAATTCAATGGTAGATGGTAGTTAGATAAAAACATCTAAATTACTAACTACAGTGGAATCTGTCCAATTCGAACTTGGATGGGACTGGTAAAAATGTCTATTTTACGGCAAGGTCCAGATTACACTGAGTACATAAAGTTGCCCTGAAGAAAAAATAAAAAGCAATGATTATTCATCTTTATTTGCTGCTGCTGGTTGTTGTCATCGCTACATTTAGAATAGTCTGCTTACTGATGCCATACTTCTTGGCTAAGTCTTTCTGCTTCGGTTTTGGCGCTGACTCAGCAAGTGTAAGTTTGATACACCTTTTCTTTGCTGGTCACTCAGCCATTGCGATTGATAATGACAAGCTGTGTTACTGTTACATTGACACGCTCATGACACTGAGGTAATCTAATTAAGCTGAGTTTCCCATTAACAGGTGAGTAAATTCTAGTAACTAAGCAGACAACAAAGTGTTAAGATCAATAGGATGACATGTAGGATCAGCTTTGATGTTCTAGCTTACTTCAAAGTGAGAGAACATCTCGTCTGGTCTGGTCTGGTCCGATTTAGACAGCTCCTTTTCATTACTAAATTGGTTGTTGGGACCGTAACTTAAGTCCAAAGTGTAAAATGTCTGAATTAGAGAGTTGTAGATCAGTTTGAGTAATGATAATTTATTAAGGAACTGAGGGGACTGGAGAAAAAGTCTGTTTTTCACCCAAATCTGAATTTGACAGATTCCACAGTATGTATGCATAAGGCTAACAAAACTTCAACACAGATGAACAGTTAACACGCATAAAATGTTCCTCCGTGAGCGTGTTGACTGTATGGGCCATGCACTGTAATACACGGACATGTGAAGTGAGGTGGTGTTTTGTTGTCAGACAAGGTGAACCAGACGGCCATGGAGAGCCTGCAGAGGAGCATCTTTGTGATGTGTCTGGACAGTACCGGCGAGCAGCCCACGGACGAGGACCACACGAACAGTCTTGCCATCACCCAGATGCTGCACGGCGGAGGCAGTGCATACAACTCGGGCAACCGCTGGTTTGACAAGACATTGCAGGTGAGTTCATACAAATGTGCCTGTACTCATGGTGCTGTTCATGTGGTGATAGGATTTCAGACACAGAAGTGTAACTCCATTCTTAGCTCACCTGGCTGAAAGTGACCTGACTGTCGTATATGTAAACCTTTTGGTAGCCACATGAATGTGAACTACAGCAGTTAGGTGATGTCTTCATGCTGTGGATCCCTGGTTTACTACAGCTAGTGAGATGTTTGATGATGTTTGATGATGTGTGGCGTGTGAAGTGGTGTACACCACAGCTAGTTGGTCGCGTGAGAGACGTCTGTCACCAGTGGATGGGGATTCTGAACTAGGATTGTTGGAAGTTCAGGACCGTATTCCTTGGGAGGCAGAGTTCTCCAGTTACGGTGCACCGTTGATATTCTAGAGGGTACAAACTGTCCACCATGTCTCTTACCCGCTGGCCAGGTTACTGCACTAATTTCCTGACCTTTTGATTCGGCTTGTGCATCATTGTCTCTCACCGGACCATTAGACAGGACTAGTCCACCAGATCAGCTGCATGATTTCTCCTTTCCTCAGTTGCTCCGGCACTGGATAGCGACTTATGTAAGCTGATCGGCTTATCCTAGAGGCCCAAGTACAAGGTAGAGGACAAAGTGATTGCTGTGGTAGCCACAGATGTCTTTGTTGTTGGCCTATATTGCTACTACTGCCATTAATGCCTTTCTGGGACATCCACAGATGAGAGGGAAGACCATGTTCTTTCCATGGATCACCCCAGTGGCAACTACCTTACATCGGTATGCAAGGTAATGTGCATTGGAGGAATTGGCAGCAGTGTTGCAGCTCCGTGTGGGTGGTGAATACCCTGAGGTACGTGTTCCAGCTTCAACTGGAGACCTTGTAGCAAAGAACGCTATGGAAGAAATTCCGGCCAATCGCCTGACTTTGGGGTTTTATTCCAACATCTTTCTAAAGCTAAAAAAAAAATCCACAAAAAGATGTTTCACAAGCTCGTCAACAAAGAGTACCTGGAGCCACCACTATACTTCAGAATGCTGATGTTGACTCAACTCAGACTCTTGCTCCGATTGAAGAATTTCCTAGTGTCGCTGGATTTACAAGATGTGTATCTCCACGTACCAATTCACCAAGAGTCTCGTTGGTACCACCGTTTCGTCATCAGAGGGCTTCATTTCCAGGGAAGAGTGTTCCCATTTGGAATATATATGGCACCATGGTTGTTTACTCACATGACCAACCCATTCAGGTGTTTCTACATCCATGAGGCGTGAGGTTCTGCTCTCTTTGCCAGTATGCTTCAACAGCTACTTCCCCAACACCTATCATTCACTCTGTGTCTTTTGATGGTTGAATGATGAACATAGAAAAGTCAGATCTTATTCCTCCTCAGGCTCTCCAGTTCATCGGCAGCCTTTTTGACACCCTTAACAACTGCTTAACAACTGCTTAAGGGTACCCTTGGATCATTGGTGGAAGGTTCAACCTTGGATTCGTCTGGTTTCATCTCAGGACCTTACTGTACATCAGTGACAGACACTGTAGGTGCTCTGTCAGTGCAGGGTGCAACAAGGAGAGGTCGGTTTGCAATTGCATCAGCTGACGTTCTGCAGATGGATGCTCAGGCTTGCCACATACCGGGGTTATCGGATGTACTGGCAGATGCCCTCTCCCAGCCAGGGAAGGTGATTGCCACAGGAGCATACACCCTTATGCATTCTTGCTGCTAACGCACCAGTTGGGAACTCTGAACATAGACTTATTCGCCACCCTGTTCAAAGCCAACTGCCAGTATTTGTCTCTCCCATTCTGGATCAGCTGGCAGTCGATCATGATGCTCTGTCTACATACTTACATGGGAGGGTCCTCATACTTATTCTAACCCTCCTCCTGGATTGCAAAAGATTCGAGCAACGACCATTCTCCAGCTGCTTTTGGTCGTGCCTTATTGGCCGTCTTGGGTGTAGTTTCAGGAGCTCATACCACTGTCCATTGGTAATCAACAAGAGTAGAAACTGGACTTTTACAGTCAGTTAACACCCTTGCCTAGAGCAAATGTCTTTTAGACTGTAGGAAATTCATGAAAATAGTGAAATTCTCAGGTCTGAATGCAGTGAACTTGGAAATTGTTTGCTCAAACTAATATTTCTCAATTACGCCTCGAACAGTCACTCATGAGGTTACAATCTCAACAAACAGATACTTTGAACTTCTGTTGAAGGTTGTTCACTGGATGACAAGATGTGAATAGCCGTATACAGATTTTCCCCCAAATAAAATACTGGAGCACACTCTCAAGTTTTTTGTCTTTTTAGTTTCTTTAATATTGAAAATAACTAAAAATACAATATTTCAATTCATTATAAAGTGGTGTAGCCAATATTTTGGTGGTGCAAGTTGATTAATACACTTGGTTGCACCTGTTGAAAGTGGTTCACTTGTACCCTGCAGCTAGTGAGGTGCTTGTGGGGGGCCATGTTGTAATCTATGCCTGTTTCCCTGACAGTTTGTTGTTGGTGAGATGCTTGTGGGGGGCCATGTTGTAATCTATGCCTGTTTCCCTGACAGTTTGTTGTTGGTGAGGTGCTTGTGGGGGGCCATGTTGTAATCTATGCCTGTTTCCCTGACAGTTTGTTGTTGGTGAGATGCTTGTGGGGGGCCATGTTGTAATCTATGCCTGTTTCCCTGACATTTTGTTGTTGGTGAGATGCTTGTGGGGGGCCATGTTGTAATCTATGCCTGTTTCCCTGACAGTTTGTTGTTGGTGAGATGCTTGTGGGGGGCCATGTTGTAATCTATGCCTGTTTCCCTGACATTTTGTTGTTGGTGAGATGCTTGTGGGGGGCCATGTTGTAATCTATGCCTGTTTCCCTGACAGTTTGTTGTTGGTGAGATGCTTGTGGGGGGCCATGTTGTAATCTATTCCTGTTTCCCTGACAGTTTGTTGTTGGTGAGGTGCTTGTGGGGGGCCATGTTGTAATCTATGCCTGTTTCCCTGACAGTTTGTTGTTGGTGAGATGCTTGTGGGGGGCCATGTTGTAATCTATGCCTGTTTCCCTGACATTTTGTTGTTGGTGAGATGCTTGTGGGGGGCCATGTTGTAATCTATGCCTGTTTCCCTGACAGTTTGTTGTTGGTGAGATGCTTGTGGGGGGCCATGTTGTAATCTATGCCTGTTTCCCTGACAGTTTGTTGTTGGTGAGATGCTTGTGGGGGGCCATGTTGTAATCTATGCCTGTTTCCCTGACAGTTTGTTGTTGGTGAGGTGCTTGTGGGGGGCCATGTTGTAATCTATGCCTGTTTCCCTGACAGTTTGTTGTTGGTGAGGTGCTTGTGGGGGGCCATGTTGTAATCTATGCCTGTTTCCCTGACAGTTTGTTGTTGGTGAGGTGCTTGTGGGGGGCCATGTTGTAATCTATGCCTGTTTCCCTGACAGTTTGTTGTTGGTGAGAAGGGAGTGTGTGGCCTGAACTACGAACACACCACAGCGGAAGGGCCTCCCATCGCGGCCATCATGGACCATGTGCTCACATTCTGGTCAGTCAGTCAGTCACGCGTCTCAGGACCTTGGAAATTTTAAGTGAAACTTGAAGGAAGAATATTTGAAGATGTGTGGGCATTGGTTCAGAATTTAATGTGAACCTCTCTGAACCACAAAGAACTCAATCATCATGCCAATAAGTTATATTACAAAATTGTCTGAATTTGTTATCGTAATCAAATGGGGTAAAAAGAAGGATATTTTCACTTTTTGATTGGTTTGTTTTGTTTGTTGTTTAAAACCGCACTCAGCAATATTCCAGCTATATGATGGCGATCTGTAAATAATTGTGTCTGGACCAGTGAATGCAGTGATTGACATCATGAGCATCGAACCACGGAATTGGGATAAGATGACATGCATCAACCAAGTCAGCGAGCCTGACCAGCCAATCCCGTTAGTCGCCTCTTATAACAAGCACAGTCGCCTTTTACAGCAAGCATGAGTTGCTGAAGACCTATTCTACCCTGGATCTTCACTGGTCTCAGTATCTGAGTATTTAGATAGAAAGGCTAGATATGCAGGCAAAAGCTCTTCTTTCTATATCATGTATTTCGTAGCTTAAGGTCAAAAAGCACTTCATTTACAAGAATCTGTATAAAACCTACTTCTGTGACCAGTGACAACACTGAACCTGTGTGATGATGTGAGTGTTCTGTTGGTGGCAGTGAGAAGAATGAGACGGGGCTGAAGGCGGGGGGCATGACAGACGTGCGGAAGATGGAGCTCAACTACTCCAAGGAGGTGCTCAAGGACATTGAGGAGGCCAAAGTGCAAGCAGACAGGTAATGCAGCACTTGTTGGGGAACTCATCAACCGTCAAATGGTAGAACAATTCATAGCTGTGTGTGTCAGCCAGTTTGCTCATGGTGGTATTGATCGGGACAACTGTGCTTATAACATGTGTTCCTAGTGACCTGGGCCTCGTTCAACAAAGCGATATCTGGCTAAGTTGATCGTAACTCCCATCCTTTAACATTGCCTTATGATAGTCCTAGTGCTGAGATCGCTTTATGGAAACGGATCACAGCAAGCACCGTAGTAATTGTGGCATAAAGGAGATTTTTTTTGATACTATGAGAACAGTGACCAGTGTAAGCTGATTCATGACCGGCGAATAATATTGTTATGATAAAATATGTTTGACAAATTTGTTTTTAAACATAACTTTGTATTCATGACCCAATTGTATATATTTCACTTTTTTCTTGTCGCTATATGGCTGAAATAATGCTGATGCGATGTTAATAACTCACACACTCATGACCGGCGACCCCATAAGTGTGACATTCAGCCCAGATGTATTTCAAATTACATAGAACAAATACAGGGACATTGACTGAAGACCCTCGGTGACCATCTTCCCGAGGCAAGAGAGTTAACTGACTTTAAAAGTCCAGTTTCCACCCTTGCCGAACTAGGCTGGAATTCCTGGGCTCGATCGTAGCGCCACCAGTGGCTATTACGAGTTATGTCCTTTCTATGCCTCTCCTATTGACCAATCAGATTCAACCTCTCGTATCACTTGCATTTGCTTCAAACAAAACGGTGGCGCCCAGTCAAGACAATCTGATCGATAATCAAGATCTATATTGTGATGAAACGAGTCTCACATTGCGAAGTGCATCAAATCACGTGAGCACCTTGATTAAAAGCATGAAAAGATTTAGAAGTTAGCGGTGCACATGCTTTACAAATCCTGCAGTCGACCGAAATCTGCATGACACTTTACGAACCAGATTTCGATTTCAGTGCGTGATTTTGATTGGACTATGCATAGACTCGTTAGTCCAGCCAAAATGTAGCTCCATAATACCAGCCTAGTTCGGCAGGGTGGAAACTGGACTTTTATAGTCAATTAACTCACTTGCCTCGGGAAGATGCTCGGTGACATGCAGTGATATACTACTCAACTTTTGATAGGGATAATCAGATATGTCATTCTGTTTAGATGTACACTGGACAGATTAAAGTGCAGTAGTGTATTTCACGGACAATAACATACACCCATTCAGCTTGTTCAGGGTATTTCACGGACAATAACATACACCCATTCAGCTTGTTCAGGGTATTTCACGGACAATAACATACACCCATTCAGCTTGTTCAGGGTATTTCACGGACAATGACATACACCCATTCAGCTTGTTCAGGGTATTTCACGGACAATGACATACACCCATTCAGCTTGTACAGGGTTTATCATGGTTATGAACTGACTCTGGCATCAGCGGATGCCATGGACGTTGTCGGTAGTCTCTCTACATTGTTTTGTTTGTTGTTCAATGCCGCACTCAGCAATATTCCAGCTATATGATGGCGATCTGTAAATAATCTAGTCTGGACCAGACAATCCAGTGATTGATATTACCAGCATCGATCCACACACCTGGGATACAATGACATGCATCAACCAAGTCGCCAAGCCCAACCACCTAATCCTGCTAGTCACCTCTTACGACATTATTCAATCATTGTGTGGATATTCACTGAATTTATGGAATTATGTTATACGGAATTTGTGAAGTTTGAAATTAAAGACAATATTAATTAGATAATTTAAGAGTTCACACATAGGTTAAACCACATGTTTTTGTTTTGTTTTGTTTGTTTGTTTGTTTGTTTGTTTGTTGCTGAACGCCACACTCAGCAATATTCCAGCTATATGACAGCGGATTGTGTATGGGTTGTCGAAGATCTTCACGGGTGTAAACCAGAAATCGGTATATAACACAGAACCCCAAACATGCCTCTCCTACATCCAGGTCACCCATGCCCAGAGTTATCTGCCCTTGGTCCCGACTACCGTCTCAGCACTCAGCTTGATATTCAGACAGGGGACGGACGGGTGGGCCTGGATAAGTATCCTGTCATCAGTCATTTGCTGCCACTGCCATCAGCAGTAACAAACTAACAACAGCCTGAAAGCTGAAAGTCGGGGGTTGTTTCCCTGCCTGGGGCTCGGCATTAAGGGGCTAAAACAAGGACTGGGTAGGCTTGGAGTCAGTATGCTGTGTCTGAATAGAGTATTCATGTTAAACTGTGGCATGGTATCTCAGTGGCTAGCACTATGAAATCGGCTAGACTTAGTAGACTAGTACAAGCACACACTAGTACACACACACACACACACACACATGCATGCACGTTGCTTTGTTAGTGCAATAATCATGGACGCGTTGTTAAACCTCATTTCACCTCCCCTCCCCATGAGTGCTTATGGTATGTGGTGTCTTCCAGCATGGCAAATGATGTGGACATGAGAGGGGTGACCTACGACAGGTACGGCAAGAACTTCGCCAAGTCCCAGCGACTCAGCCCTGATGGTTACATCCAGGTGGCCATGCAGCTGGCATACTTCAGGTAGGTCGAGAGCATAAGGTTGGTTGTTTGGTTGGTTGGTTGTTTAAAGCCACACTCAGCAATATTCCAGCTATGTGACGGACGTCTGTAAATAATCAACTCTGGAACACAGTCCAGTGATTGATGTCATGAGCATCGATCTATGCATTTGGGATACGATGACTACATCAAACAAGTCAGCAAGCCTGACCTCCCTTTTCCGCTACTAGCCTCTTGTGACATATATAGTCACCTCTTGCAGCAAGCATGAGTTGCTGAAGACATGTTCTCTGCCCAGATCTTCAGGGCATGGAGGCTACATGTTGTACATATCAGAATGCCTTGTACTTGATGGAAACCAGGCAGAGAAAAGGATTGTTTGGCCCCATTTACAGACAAGAAAGATGTCTCTTGGCAATTGCCTGCCTGTAACATTTACGACCCCAAAATTCAGCTCCTTAATTAATGTTTTAAATGTATTGGAGTGGTCATACACAGATGATCAGTGAAGCTTGCATTGTAGTAGCTCTGTTGGCATCAAGTGTATTGTAAATGTATATTGCCACAACCCAGATTGTATGGCAAGCCGTGTGCCACGTACGAGACAGCATCGCTGCGTCGGTTCCTGCATGGCCGCACCGACACCATCAGATCCTGCTCCATCGACTCCTTCAACTTCACCAAGGCCATGCTGGACAGCTCTGTGTCACAGGAGGTCAAGGTCGACCTCTTCAAGAAGGCTGTCCTGGCTCACAGGAAGTACACTGATGAGGTCAGCAATGATTGTTTACATGTGATTCTCTTCTGTTTAGAAAAAGGCTTTCTACTCGTTTCCTCTTCTGCTTTACGTTACAAGGAGATCATATGTAAATTTTGGGTGGATGTGCAATTTGTGTTGCGATATTGGATAAAGAGATGGTGTGCAATTTCTGTTGTGGTGTAGAAGTGGTATAGGAAAATATACAACTCTATGGATAGTAACTTCTAGAATGCCAATCAAACATTGATTGTTGCTATTCTGGTTATTGAAAAACTTGATTTAAATGACACTGAAAGATCTTTGAACACGACATGTATTTACCTGTAGATTTGACCCATGACGAGGGGTAGAATAGGTCTTCAGCAGCCAGTGCTTACCATAAGAGGCGACTATGCTTGTCGTAAGAGGCGACTAACAGGATCGGGTGGTCAAACGTATCCAAACTGGGTGGATCAATGATGTCAATCACTGGATTGTCTGGTCCAGACTTGATTATTTACAGACTGCCGTTATATTGTCGGAATATTGCTGAGTTGCAGCGTTAAACAACAAACAAACAAATTTTGTAGTACTCCTTAGATATGTAAACCAATATTGATCTGAACTGCATTGCCATGGGTACAGAACGATGTACCCCAAACTGTACTGCAAGAGAATGTATGTTTCAGGCTATTAACGGCAATGGAATTGACCGCCACCTCCTGGGGTGGAAGCTAGCAGCAGTGGAGGCAGGCCAGAACATCCCTGACCTCCACATGGATGGATCTTACGCCACCAGCCTGTACTTTAAGGTTTCCACTAGCCAGGTAGAGTCTTGTCCTCCTTCATGCAGTAAGGTTGTAATAATACCGGTGTAGAACAAGTCCCTAGAAACCATGCTTTTCGAAAGTCTCCAATAGGATCAGCCATCTTCCTGAGGCAAGGCTGGAATTCCAGAGTTACAGTTTGGCTGGACTAACGAGTCTTTGCATAGTCAAACCAAAATCTAAAAGATAATATCCATAAAACTAGTCATCCAGTTTGTAAACAACATGACCAGGGTTGTTCTCTATCAGGCGTTGGTTTGCCTGGTCCAGACTTGATTATTTATACTTTTACATTGTGTGATATCAGTGTGTGTTGTATCGTGTCACTCAGGTTGGTGCCAAGCATGATGCTGTGATGGCGTTCGGTGCAGTTGTCCCCGACGGCTATGGCATCTGCTACAACCCTCAGAACACTAAGATCAACTTCTCTGTGTCGTCATACTTCAACAGTCCGGAGACCGACTCGAAACGCTTTGCCACAGCTCTGAAGGAGAGTCTGGATGACCTTCACACATTACTGGGAGCCCCTCAAGCCAAGTTATAGGCTGGTGTCGGATGTGTGTGACCTGAATGTGTGGTAGTTGTTCCAAGGCTTGTAGGATAGTTGTCCCTAAACCCTAGCGTGTATGATTGTGAAACGACAGCGGAAATGTTGCTAGGAAGTGTAACACGAACGTCTGTCCTTGACACTCACCTGTTGCCCTTGTTTGTGTCCATTTGCTAAAATAGATTCTACTTTTAGTCAGGGCTTGATTTAGCACAAGTGCAACCTAATATTTTTACATCTACTTGCACCCAGTGCTTGTCAATGTTTTTGAATTTGTGTCTGACCAACCCATATGACAACTGATCTTTGAACACTCAGGTCCTGTAAAGTTTATTTAACATACTACATCACTAATCCCTGGTTAAGAATAATTTGTTATGTTTTCTTGGGTGTGATGTCATCAAACAGCACATGTTCCTACTACGTTTTATAGCAATGCTATTTTATAGCAGCAGACTGGCCTATGTTTCATGCCAGCATGCACCCGGTGCAAGTTAAATCAAGCCCTGAATTTATTGTGTGTATGGTGTGGGTAATTCTTGAAATATCAGATATTGTTTTGTATTGCAAGATGTCTTGTAACCAAAAGTTCTGATATGTTAGGTAAGTGTTGTACTCTTTAACGATGAGCTACTCAGTTTAATTAAGTTACCATGGTTATATGACAATCCATTACTTGTTTTTAGAAATGAATTTCATGTTCAGTGACCATAATGGTCAGGATGTATGCAAAACTGGATCCCTCAGTTAAGAAGAATTACCTTTTCTCATGACAATGTTAAAGTTGATTCTCAATACACCCACCCACCACTGTATTAAGGCTGAAGGTGTGTGGCATTGTTGCTCAACGAAATTCTGATACCTTTATTTTGTAGTCATGTGAAAGAGAAACAATGTCAGTTGTTGAAGCAGGGTTTCATATGTTATGGACTCCCCGGGTGAAGGTAGGAATGAAACAGTCACCCAATCCCTCCAGAGGAAGGGAATTCCTGTCCTTTGTTGTTACATGTATTAACATGTAGTGAGCGTCGTGGGACAGCAGTCTGTGAATGTACAGGTTGTACCACTCCCCAAATTGCAAGCATAATACGTGCATGTGATGGAGTCTCATCAGAACTGCAGAATGTTCTTGCATAATTAGGTAATGTTTTCTTTCATATCTGTACATATGTGGCTACAAGAAAGTATATTTGCATGTTCCCCTCCTGTGTATTGCATCTCATACCACCTGTATGATAATGCTGCTGTCAGTGCTCGATTCTTCAATGCAGTGTTCCTCATTTATATCACTGTTAAATGGGAGGCATCCCTAAAGAAATGGACAGCTGGATGGGTTTTCACATGAACAATGGCATGGAATTGGGTTTCTTTTAGTTTTTGATAGTCAATGTCTGCAGAAGATAGAACTGAAAACCCATGTCCCTGCTCTGTGTGGCACCAGTACATGTTGTACTGTGTCTGTCTGCAGGCCGTGTTTGTGAGTGAGTGAGTGAGTATGGTTTAACGCCGCTTTTAGCAATATTCCAGCGATATCACGGCGGGGGACACCTTAAATGGGCTTCACACATGTCGGGAATCGAACCTGGGTCTTCAGTGTGACGAGCAAACGCTTTAACCACTAGGCTACCCGACCGCCACCCGTGTTTGTGTAGCCATACTTCCAGTCCAGACCGATTCCCTTTGTTGTAGGTGATGTCCTGCATCATTGTGATACCTACTGAGTTGTACAGACCTGGCAACATTCCCCTGGGTCTGTGCAGGAACGGTTGTGTGTTTGTTGATGACCACTTTATCAGAGGTCTTATTGACTGGTGACAGTGATCACCATCATTGTTTTGCCAAATAATATTTTTTGCAATGAAACAGTTTAAAAAACAACTTCTTATGCTTCAAAGAAGCTAACACCATCGTCTTAGCTTAGAGGGCAATCATTAATGTGTCCTTTGTCTTGGTTCTCTACCTTCTGACACTGGGCAGAATATCCTCAGTTCCTCGGGAGTGAAGAGCTGACTCATTGAAGAAGTTGTGATGTGTCTTGATAGTGTGGGTTGTTGCTCATGCTGTCAACCATTGGTTTGGTTGACCCAGATTTATCTATATGAAGGGTGCCTTGATATAGCTGGAATACTGCTCTGATCAACTCCTCCACGCTACTCATCATCAGGAGGCTTCTCATGGAGAGAGTATCGTTTTATGTAAAGAACGTCCACATAGCCTGTTTATTTTGTAAAGTGCCTTATTAATTAACTTTTAATTGTCAGTGCAATCACTCACAACATCAAGTTTGTTGAATGTTATATAGCAGCAATATACATGTTCATAAAGTGTTTTGTGCACCTCCTGTAACAGTGTATGTACACAGATTACGTGTGCACACCCCACAGATTTATGTAGACTAGCTCAGTGCCCATACTCACCCCAAGTCTGCAGCAAATGTCAGTCAAAACTCCCGATTTGAGTTAAAAATTCCCGATTCCTGAGAATTTAAGAAAAAAAAAGCATGTAGTTTCCCAGTTTGACTGCCAAGGGCACAGAGTTTGAAATCCTAAATAAATCCCTGACCCAGGGTGAGACTTGCTGTGATGATATCAATCAGGTTTAATAACCATTCTCCATAAAACCCTTCCCATCAAAACGTAATGAGATGCTTTTGTAATGAGGCAAAAGAGTTGCTTCCGGCATTGAAATAGTGTTGAGCACTGGATCCCGGAAGTATTTATCACTAGCGTTGTTGGAAACCCCTGTTGTCCCAGTGAAGCAGAGGGGATGACAGTGACTGAAAGCAGATGGTCTTGTATGGTTGTGACTGCACTGGTTCATGGCAAGGTGGTATATATGTCTGAGTGTTATCTGTTGAGGATATGGTTTGTTAACTTGGGACACAAGTCGTTTCTGACTTGCTGCCTGAAAACAACTGAATCAGGCATCTGTTTATTATAATGTATAATGAAATAATATATAAGCAGAACCCGATTCATGGTGTGTTAGCATGCAGTTTTAGTTCAGTTTTATAATAAACAGGATTGAACTATGTGTTTGTGTTATTAATATACTTGATGACTTGAAACAGATCATATCAAATAGTCTGTTTAAAACAAGTAAACAGAAATAGGCCATGTCAAAGTAGGTCATGCTTGTCATAAGAGGCGACTAACGGGATCAGGTGGTCTGGCTCGCTGACTTGGTTGATGCATGTCATTGTATCCCAATTACGTGGATCGATTATTATGATGTCAATCACTGTATTTTATGGTCCAGACTCGATTATTTACAGACCACCGTCATATAAACAACTTGCCAAAGCAACCCTCAGTCTGTGGCGACCTGATATGGTGGGCAGCATGGGCAACCTGGTTGTGAGTCATCGGATGGCGTGGGAGGTTGCTTGTAATATCAATCACTGGTTTGTCTTGTCCAGACTTGTGTCATACAGCTGGAATATTATTCAGTGTGGCCTTAAAAACAAGATGGTCAAAGGAACTACCAAAACTAACACTTGGTTGTGTAAATGAGGTCTGTTGGTTACATAGGAGTTGGTCTTCAGCAACCTATGCTTGTGGTAAGAGGAGACAAACAGATCGTGGGGGCAGGTTCGCTGACTCGGTTGATGCATGTCATCGTAACCCAATTGCATAGAACGATGCTCATGACGTCAGTCACTGGATTGTCTGGTCCAGACTCCAACTTTTACAGACCGCCTTAAACAACCAACCCAGGTTATCTTGTTTCCTTGTTTGTTGTTTAACACACTCAGCAATATTCCAGGTATATGACCGCAGACTAAATAATTGAGTCTGAACCAGACAATCCAGTGATTGTACTCATGAGCATCCATCCACCCAACTGGAACACGATGACATGCATCAACCAAGTCAGCGAGCCAGACTCTGGTTACTTGCCTGTTATGGCAAGCATGGGTTGCTGAAGACCTATTCTACCCCCCACCTTCATGGGTCCCCTGGTGATCAGCTGTAGTAGTTAATGATGGGATATGCTGCTTGAGTACTTTTGATAGCCGTTCTGGGGTCGAATTAGAGGATATTATATTCGGGACTCGGTAGTGGGGTACGCGGGACGCAAATAAAATCGTATTTGGTACTCAGATTGAATATTTAACTTCAAACCGCATCCTTTTCTCAATGCTTTTGAGATTTGTCTTATAAGGAGTATAAGGGATTCAAGGGTGAACAACGAGAGTGGAACATTAGATGGTATTCGGGGTTCAGTTGCAAACCCGATTACACTGTATTATGTGGAGTCCTGGTTGAAATAATGTCTGACTAGAACATATTTACTGTCATTATTAAATGTACAGACAACTATGGTTGACAAGCGCTTACATTAAACCTAAATTACACGTCATTAGTTTCTGGAATGCTCGTCAATAGTTTCAACAATTCGTCACTAGTTTCAATAGCTCTTCAATAGTTATGTACTATTGACGAGCTATTCGAAAAGACATAACAAAGTCGGGAGTGTGCATATTGTTGTTGTTTTTTCTCACTTGGGCAAACTTTATTTATCCAGGGTTACATTGTAAGTGTCAGTTTGCCATGGTAGACTTCACCTTTCAATATTTTTTACCTCCGTTATGAAGGCGATAAACACTTGGTTTAACTCGCCGTCAGACGCTTGTAAAAGATACATGTCTACTTCTTGTCCATTCCATTTTCTTACTTTGTACCAAGTAGACAGTAACCGAAGGGCCCAGTCACATTTTTTAAAAGTATTTTTACTTTATGCAGATCTTTCCAAATCTTGCAATTCAAGTGAAGAGAGTGGCCTACCGAAACGGCGCGATACCGGACTTAAGGGGGGTGGAGGGGGAGTTTCAGCTTTTTATCGTGCAATCTCCACAGCATTAAATCCTTGCTGCAAGGAATAATTTCATCATCAGATGAAGTACCAAGTTCTATGTGGAATTTGCCAGTGGATGTTTCACCGACCGGAGAAAGAAAAAGCTTCAGTTTCTCATCAGGGCGATTAGGCAATTCGGTCATAGATTTACTTGTACCAACATTGCCGTCATCATCATACGCGGGAGAGATGTTTAATAAATTCTCAAAGTCACTGTTTATATCTTGTGTATCAAAGTTTTGCGAAAACTTACTCTGGGTCAAAAATAACTCGCTGTCTGAATCCGATTGACAAGTTATGTGGTTATGTCGAACGAAATGCACGCGCACAACTAATGACGTGCAACTGAAACCGGTTTCGCATGATTCTGGTGTGTTCGAGTGAACTGCACGCGCACAACTAATGACGTTCAACTGTTACCGGTTTCTGTTCTCGGTTACCTAATTGTCTGATACTAAGGGATTCAAACTTGCAAAAGCTATATAATATATTTTGCGTTTGTTTTTAGTTGAGGTGTACATACTTTTTGAAAGCATAATAGTTTTTTAAGGGGATGTAGCATTCCAATTAAACTAAAGACGCGACAATTTTGGTTTAAGTATAATAAACTCCGAAGACGCGTCAATAGTTGTGCACGGGTTTAACGCGCCTCAGACCAAACCCCGTGCACAACTATTGACGCGTCTTCGGAGTTTATTCTTTACATATAAGTCCAAGTGAAAACGTTCTTGCCTCCTATATTTATTTCGGCCTCAGTTCATTTACCATGGTGTCACTGGTTGTCGATCCCACGTAAAACACGTGCACATGGACACGTTCAGTCGGCGTTTCAGAAGATAAGTCATCTCCACATGAAAAAATGGCGGCCTCACTTTGGTCTTAAGCATTATTGTAACGCCGAAAGCCACAGTATGTGAACGTGTCACGGACGGAAGGTTGTATATAATTACACGACTGATGCAGTCAGCTGGGCAGTTATATTCCATAACATTACGCAAGCGCTCCAGGACCCGGTGAGATTAACTGAGTCAGATTTACGTTCCCAAACAAGCCGCAGCAACGTATATATAACACTGGTCAACCGAGACGGACAGTGGTATATAAAGCGCCCGTGATGGTCACAGCTCACAGGCAATCACAGCTGTCGTTTGCAAGGTAAGAATTACCCTTCTTTTCTCTGTATGTATCGGGTACTTCAGTCTTCTATTAAAGTAGTACTTATGGATAAATACGGGATGTACGCGTGTTCAGGGTCAGATGTGGAGATTCTTACATGGTAGGTCTGCTTATACATGTATTGTAGCCGTTTGATGAACATATTCAGAGACCATATAATAGACATATTGTAGAAAATACACGAAGCTTATACGTAAGTCAAACACAAAATGACCCAAGAATACATAACGATATCATAAAACCATGCTAGCCAATCTGTTGTATACAACATTTCTTAAAATACTCAGTTCCTGAGGTAATTTCTAGATGGAGCAAGTTCGTTTAATCATTACTTTATGTAACAGCGCTCAGCAGGTGCTCCCGAGTAGATGTAGAGAAATATGCCGACTAACCAGTAGAAGTTGTTGCTAGGATATTTAATATGGCTGAAGAAATCGCGTAGAACCCAGAACACTAGAGCTAATCACGAACAAGCCTGTGGCCGACCCAGTGACAATAACTAGGACCTGAATAAAGTAAGTAGCTTAACTACCCAAGCTGACTAGAGAAACTAGCTTACCTACTAGTTGGTAAATTTGTTAACTCGGATATGTATTTAAAGGAATAATGATAAATAATTTAGGTTTAGATATTACTGTAATTCAGCACAATTTATGGTGTTTTAATATACAACATACTCTTTACAAACATAGTTACATGTATATGGTATACAAACCACGACTGTTGCACTGCTCCGCTTGTAATGTTTTACTCTTTGGATCATAATAAACATATCACTAATATTAATATGGCCCTTGCGTATTGCTAGATGTAATGTATCTGGACAATACATCTAAAATATATGTAACAAAATGTATGGGTAAATATACCAAACATACAAATACAGTTATATAGCTATAAAGTACATTCTGTGTTTCACCTTACAAGTACATGGGATAAAACAAATACATCTAATGCATATGAAATAAGGGTGAGTTGGGTTTCACGCCGTTTTGAACAGTATTCCAGTTATATCACGGCGTGTCAGCTTGATGTGGGAGGAAAGCCCGAGTGATGCAGGTCTCGGGCGTTTACCACTTTGGTGCAACCCACGAGCATGGGTATGGTGCTGTCAAACTTTGAAACATAATCGGGACTTACCGGGATTCGAACCCACAATCCTGGATTTATGGCGTGCCCAAGGGACCGCGAATAGCTACACCTCGGACGGCTGGGCCACACGTGCCCCCGCATCTGAGATACATGTACAAGACAGATTGTTAAACGCGTGTTGGTAACACCAGCGATATAATGATACATATTTTCGGCGAACGTTGTCGGGAACACATCTGCATAATGAATAAAATTGTATGCAGAAAAGGAAAATATGTAAATACATACTACTCAAACTTAAAAAACCGATTCTTTCTGTGACTGTGACCTAACAGGACAGTTTTCCATGGTCATCTGTAAGAATCGGATGTTCTTTAAATCCTTGGTAAAACTATGCATAAAAATATAAAAAAGATCACCACTTAAAGAGACAACGATCTTTTACACATGTACTTACCCTGATACACCAATCACTCGTATGAACCATTCATATACTTACATTCATTCATTACTGTACAGATAGGCTATAACATAAGATATATAATATTGTTGATATATTTAGGCAAGGGTTTAATACTAAAGTCATACTGAATAGTCACATGATCAACTCACTGAATTCATCTAAAACAATAAATATTTACACAAGTACAAACTTTCTATTTCAAATCAATCTAATCATTATAAAAATCATTATAAAAATCATTATAAAATAGAAACCATCCATTATACTATACATGATCAACTTGCCTCAAATATCCATGAATATCTCACAAGTTCCCCAAATCCTCACATGAGTAGCCTCTACAAAAGAACTCGACAATTGTTACCGATTTGCTTCCTACAGATGTAAACTGGCAACTGACTTATGATGTATGAAATGTGAACATTGAAATGGAGCTGTGGCGGGCTTGGGCTATGGGAGAGACCTATACTGAGCAACGCGCTGCGGGAACGAGTGATGTGAGTGAGCATGCATTGTGACAATTAGTGGAGGAGAAAGTTTGCTTAATATTACAAGGCTATAGAATGAATGATTAAGGTATAAAATGCAAAGTATAAAACGTAACTATACTTTACCTCATTCAGTGGGATGAGATTATTTTGCTCTGTTATGTATTGAAGGTACTTATCTAAATAAATGTAAGGTCATACAACCTTACCAACTACTTAGACGACTTGTAGAGGGTCTACCCGGAGAGTGGATGGCACGGGTATCAATCCCCGGCTGCATCATACCAAAATACGTTAAGATGGTACTTGTTGTTACCCACCCGTGAAGATCCGAGGTAGAATAGGTCTAAAACAACCCATGCTTGCTTAACAGGCGACCATGCTTGTCGTAAGAGGCGACTAATAACGGATCGGGTAGTCAGGCTCGATGACTTGGTTGATGCATGTCATCGAATTCCAATTGCGTGGATCGATGCTCATATTGTTAATCACTAGATTGTCTGGTCGAGATTCGATTATTTACAGTCGGCCGTCATGTAGCTGAAATTTTGCCGAGTGCGGCGTTAAACAAACGAACAAAACACTGTTAGTCGCCGTGCAGTGTTTGTTCACTACCCCCCGTATCATATTGACAATTACTTTGATGTTATAATTCCTGGCTAAGTTATCTGCCCTAGGCTGTCAATGTTGTCTACACAAAAGCAGGTGGTAATAGAATAGTATCAGTATTGCCTAACAAGTATTGATTTAATTAGTTTTAAATGACGGTCAAAACCTGGGCCAGCTGGTTACAAAACATCTATTAAGAGAACAAAGGACAGTGCGGGCGTACCCGCCGACTTTATCTATGATTACGTAATTTACTGTTCGCGTTGTTGGCGATAAATAAACGAGAAATACTGGTCTGGCGACTTTTGAATTTTAGAATTTCCTTCAAGTTTAATTTGCGAAGAATATAGAAAAAGTACAATGAAACATATGCACTGTAATACTACCATTATTGATATAATCTTCACTTTGAAGCTACATTATTTCCGAGAAACCCCGTTAATCTCAAAGAAAATGTACGAATGTGCATAAATGCAACATAACTGAATTAAAGAGACAATTTCCGCGGTTATGTTGGACAAGCCACACTTTTCATGTTGTCATAGTCCTAAAACAACTAAATTCTAGAAGTATTGTCATATTTCAATGCGTTTTGTATTTGTATCAATATTTTATCTTGCAACCAGCGAAACCAAAACATTTCACAATCTTTGGATAATGTCAGTCACTTGTCCCGTCGCTGACGTCACACACTGACTCGGGGTTATGTAACTGACCAGGGGTTATGTAACTGACCAGATGTAAAATGCTGTGCATGGCAATCATTTTAAATAGACAATGTCAGTTGGGCTGTAATATAAATTATGTGAAGTAATCGGTGCACCCGTATCGAATAATTGTTGTTCATACACTAGATATCTGCCAGTCAGCTAAGGTACCTAATATATTCCACAGGAGGACCAAGTCCCGGTATATGCGTACGGAGTCCAGTGGTTAACTTCACTCTGCCCCGAATACAGACTTAAAGGGGCTCAGCAGCCTTCTGTTTAAAGGTAAGATCAGGTTATATTCTGTCCTTGAACTTATTTTGTTTTTATACTATCTTTCAATATCCTGAACAATAAATTATATTTCATTTATTATACTACAAGGCTGCCGCGCGTGCGTGCTTGCGTGTGTGTGGTTACTTCACATGGGGCACGGGTGACCCAGTCGTCTAATGCGCCGCGATTCGCTGTGCAGAGTTGCGTCCCTTGGGCGCGCCAGAAACCTATGATGATTGTGGGTTCGAATCCCTGTTCGCCCTGATTGTTTCTAGGTTTGTCAGCACCATACCCGTGCTCGTGGGTTTCACCGAAGTTGTAAACGACCTGTATCACTTCGGGTTTTCCTCTTTCATAAAGCTGACACGCCGTGATATAACTGGAATACTGTTAAAAGCGGCGTTGAACCCAACTCACTCACTCATTACTTTACATAGCGTAAGTAAGAGTACATGGTGGTACATACCCACGGGTAATCTCACGTAACTACTGTTTCACCGGGAATCTGGCTATACCCCGTCTATCATTTGGTTAAACATTTACAGCACTGAAATAATACATTTGTCTGTCAATACATCGGTCAAGCTGTGAATGTAAATGCTAAGTTGCGGTAATGAAATGCGTTAGTTACACTGGTGCTTCTTTTCAATTATTCTATGACACAATTCGCCTTTTATCCCCCGCCGCGATACAGGAACAGATTTCGTCCGTCCTCCCACTTCTCAATGGGAACACATTTTCTCAAACTATTTGTTTGAGAACTATTTTAGTTAGAATTTACATTGATGTTACAGCAGCTATCTCAAATGAGTTCTCAAACTGGTGCCGTAAATTATATTTATACAGTTACGACCCTTGATCCATCTTATTTTATGCATAGTGTCTGCAAGTGGCACCCGTTTTCTCAACTTACTGAAGTAACATGGCTGAACTTTCTGGGCTTACCTTAGAGATACTTATCAGGACAGTTTGACAATTGGTACCATAAATAACCTTCCGACCCAGAGTTACGTCCCTTGTTACTTGTTTTTAGACCTGCAAGAAGACTCGTCCCCCTTTCGATGAATGTTATGTGCGAAAATGCGACAAACCAATCAGAATGCGCGTATGATTTCAAGTTCTTCGTCAAAGAATCCCTCAGAAACAATTTTTTATTTAACATATGTCTTACATCTAAAAATATACCCAAGACAGTTAAATGTAGTCAATCATACTGTATAATTCCGCATGTCCCGCTGTGCTTTAAATTGCATCTAAAATATATATAATATATGGGGAAATATATGTGAACCATTACGCAACGAGTTGACAATTGTTTTAGGTATGCCCGTTTGCGCTAAGACGGAACCCGGTCGCAAAAATTGGCACGAGAGGGGCACAAGTCGCTATTCTGCTTGTCCCGTAATAACACGAGTTGGTCACGAATGAGATTTTGCGTCTCCTGTCTTCACCCCGTGGCGGGGGATAGTGATAACGCTGTTTTCATCTTGTAATTGTATCGCCACATGTATCCAAATAATCATGTTGAAACGTTCAAACCACTGATTTTAAGTTCTTCTCGCAGTATAGTTGTTCAATAACAATATTTATTTTCTTCAAAATCTATTATAACTAATACACGTTCCACCGCACTGTCAACTGAATATCTGAACAGGGATGTGGTGTATTGTTTCAATATTATACGCCGATCGGTCGGGATAAAGACAATAACCCCCAGCCCAACTTCCCCCAATAGCACCCCCCCCCCCCCCCCACCCCCCATCCCCCAGACAATAACACCACCACCCCAACTACCCCAGACAATAGCATCTCCCCCCCTACTCTTAATAATTGTCGGAATGTTCACCTTGCAGAGACATGACGGCGTTCTTCACTGCTGGCGCAAGACATGAATAGAGCGATGACGTTGCTAATGGCGCCAAGGTCATGCCAGTGGAGCAGGCGACTTCCACGTAACCTATCACCTTGTAGCAAGCCTTAGGACACGCGATCTGGTGCTGCCGCCCTCGAAGTCAACGCCGCCCTCGAAGTCAACGCCGCCCTCGAAGTCAACGCCGGCCTCACCAATCGGCAAACCAGTTTATGCTTGCAGAATTGAGTCGTGTGTTGTCGTTATGCTTTGTCCAGACAGAACACTAGTTGAGTTACCTCCTTGCTCAGATGCGAGGTAAACCAGACTCTCTACACTTACATTGGCTGAGACCCTTATGGAACCTTATTGTCTGGAGACACCAGTACACATCAGTCATGAAATAACTGTCAGCTTGTTCTGTCAATGTGATGGTGATGTGGAGTTGTGCACAGGACACAGAACTGTGATATTTCTAACAGTTTAATGAAGACTCAAAGGATTGGCTCACAGTTTATCAGCGAGCGGAAGCCCCTGCTTGACCGAGTGACGTACATAGATCAGTCTGGGTTCCTGGCTACCTATCTATGGACGTGGACACTTCATCCCGGCAACTAACTACGCTGGCCAGATGTTATCAGTTGATGACGGACCGAGGAATGTGGCTATTGGTCATCCCAAGGCAGCGGTCAGTATGTCCTGTCTGGACGGTTGTTGGGTAATAATTATCACCAGATTGACATACATCGGAAATATCTCTTGCCAGTGTGGTTAGAATACACCCAGTGTTCAATTAAAGGTATATATACTTAACTGAAAGTCCACAAGGCTAAACGATTGAAGCTGTGCTGTAGGTTTCTTGTATTGCGGACAGTACTAGCTGTCATCTAGTTGATAGTGTTCACGTGCAAGAAAACTATGTTGTGACGTTAAAAAGGCACTGAGAGTTTGGCACCGACCAATTGATATTCTAGGGATGGGGGTGATGGGCTTTTATCGAAAAAATATTGTCCCAGAAAATTCTTGAAAAAAATGAGTTTATCTTGCATACTGAAAAAAGAAAATATCTACCACAAAAATACATTGTTGCAAGGTGTTTTCTGAGAAAAATATTCAGGCTCATAGTTTTAATTTACAAATATCTGGTTTTGCAACTGTAGCAGAAAAAATATGTAATCTGGAGACTCAGTCCAAGTCTTCTAAACCTCCAACCCCAATCCCCTGAATATCGGTCCCCCCAGTGTAGATTTGTGTGGAATATGGGTTACCAAGCAACGTGACTCTGTATGCGGGTGTATGATTTTAATCAACTATAGGAAAAATAATACGAGAAAGAATAGTTGTACCATGTTTAATATATACTATTTTAGGGAATATGTAAACAACCCCATGTGTTGGAATGAGAACGGAAATCTGTGTACAGAAATATAACGGACATGGTGTATCAATAGAAATTAAAGTCTTGTGTAGTAGTGACGTAGCCGTCTTTTGGGTGACGGTAGGCGTCTTTTGGCTGACGTTGGCGTCTTTTGGCTGACGTTGGCGTCTTTTGGCTGACGTTGGCGTCTTTTGGGATGTTTGCTAATTGGTGGAATCAGCAGGGCAGGCAAGACTGGCTATGACCATACACAGAAAGCTGCTGAGTTTTAATGGGTGGAGGCAGTGAGATGCACAACCATAATACAACAATACGCGTACAACACGTACGTCAATCATCATGATCATACAGAATGTATACACACGGAAACATAATGACATTGTACGTTAATACAACAATACGCGTACAACACGTACGTCAATCATCATGATCATACAGAATGTATAAACACGGAAACATAATGACATTGATATACTGTAGATAAACAGACAACTATATAATACTAACGTAACATTAACTTGTAACTAACTGTAGCTTTGTCTCTTTCTCGTCTTTATTCAATGGAGTGACGTAGCGTGTCTTTTGGGTGACATAGACGTCCTTTGGGTGTTACTTCTTAATCGGGGGAATTAGCGGTAGTAGAGGTCACGACTGGCTATCACCTTGAAGAACAGAGAAGGCTGTTGAGTTGATGGCGTTTATTCGTTGGAGGTAGAGTGAAGTACATTTAATTATAATGACAAGATAATATGATACGTGTGCAACACGTGTTAAGAGGAAGAGTCACATTCATATAATCGTATACATATAATTATAATAATTCGATACGTGAACAACACGTATGAACGGTATGATCATGATAATATAATCTGCATACAACAGATAATGACATGACTATATAGACGTACAATATATTGTATTTTAAGGTTTAACAGGTGGTTATGAAAAGGCATTTATTACGAGAAAATATGTCTGGTAGAAAACAGTACATGGGCTCCCGCTGTCACGCGTGGATATTTAACAACATACTGTTATAACAGACAATATAATATAATGTTGGCCGACTCAGTTTTCATTGCTACTAAGTTGCAGGCAAATCATTATGAGTGTCACTGAATGTAGGAACGTACTTGGTTATTGACATTGGTGCACATACTCATATTGGGATGTTGCCGTGCAACTAGTATGCTAATATACAAAAATATACGTTCGCGAAAGGCAGTATTGTCTGGATATTAAGTCAATGATAGTTTTCATAACGCTACGATATAGTCGAAATAGATCTTACCTACACCTAACGTATTACGATCGTAGCTGACAGGATGTTAACATTTAAGTCAATAGTGTCTTACCTTGAAGAACAGAAGGCTACTGAGTTGATGGCGTTTATTCGGTGGAAGCAGAGTGACATACATAAAATCATAATAACAATCCGATACGCGTGCAACACGTGTACACAGGCAGTCATATACATATAATCATAACAATCCGATACGTGTACAACATGTATGGCCATGATAATGATGTCATCAATATATATATGTCTTACATTTGTTTGCATAACTATCTGACCAGCACCATGAGAAATGTTGAACCCGTCGGATATGCGTTATCGGGTTGACCCATGGCAGTCTAAATATAATGGAACGTGGTCGTTAGTAACAATCCTTTATTTCACATTTTCCAATTCTTAATGTCATTTAACGTGATTAAATGTTTGTCCATTTCCCCATCTTAATAACAAACATGTTTCAGAATATAAAGATAGAGCCGACTCATGTTTCATTGTTACTAAGTTGCAGACATTGTTCTGACTATCTCTGAATGTAGGAACCTGCTAGTTATTGACATTGGTACTCATACTAATATTGGGATATTGCCGTGCGAATAGTAAGCTAATGTATTATGCATAAAATGATCGCAAGAGGAAGTTTTGTTAACGAGATATTTACCCATAACTTGCACCACGCTACGATATAGTCCAAACATAATCTAAACCTAACGTACTATGATCGTAGATAGCAGAATAAGTTAATATCTAAAGTCAATAGATTCTTATCTTGAAAAACAAAAGGCTGCTGAGTTCTTGGCGTTTTCATCGGTGGAAGCAGAGTGCATTTGCTACCACCGACCGCCGTACCTGATATAATTAACCTTATGACCTATATAATAACCTTGAACGGTTTGTTTGGTCTAGGCTGATTATAATACCTAGAATTTGTTGTCTGGGAATAAGCTTGGGACAGCACTCCTTAAAACAACCTAGAGAAGCATCTGTTAGTGGCCAGTCTTTATTTGGTGGATCTCATCAGTGAGGAACCCGTTTTGGCTTGTGTGGGCGTGGTCCCGTTTTGCCTTGTGTGGGCGTGGTCCCCTTTTGCCTTGTGTGGGCGTGGTCCCGTTTTGCCTTGTCTGGGCGTGGTCCCCTTTTGCCTTGTCTGGGCCTGGTCCCGGTCCCGTTTTGCCTTGTGTGGGCGTGGGCCCGTTTTGCCTTGTCTGGGCGTGGGCCCGTTTGCTACGTCACAATGACCAAGATAGTGGGGGAATTAACTTGGTAGAGCTGATTACTCGTCTAACAACTTAAAACAGAGAGAAGGCTGTCGAGTCTCTTTAAGTCTTTATTCGTGGCAGAGCTAAAATACATAACACAGCTTTGACCTAGATCAAGTTATTGAAACCGTCCGTTTTAAGGGACAGTTTATACCTAGAATTGTTACGGGGAATTAACTCCGGGATCTCCATGCCTTCCAAAACAGAGGTTCTCAGGCGAAATGCAGGAATTCTTCATTATATATGACGTCAAAAGGGCAACAACATACATTCAACAGCATCTCAGTATTCTTTTTCATAGTTAAGACATCACAATGAGAATTAACTAGTAAAGCATTAAGATATGAAATCAATTGTTAAGAAATGATAATGAGTTACATAAGAGTGGACTCGTTAAGATACCATGTTATAAACGCCATGGTCTCTTACAACATTGTGCTCAGTGAATGTCAATCATGTTCATAGCGTACATCATTCATAAATTTGGACATAAGGATGATTTATGGTCAATTGAGCTCTTGATAACTTTTCAAACAATTGTCTATTGGCTCTCCTATACTCCCCCCACGTGTCTGTAGCGATTATGATGTCATCGATGTATGCGTAAAAGTGTTTCTCGTCACATATGACTCCATTTATCAAACGCTGAAATTTTGCTGGCGCATTTTTCAGATCAAATGGCATCACATTATATTCGAACAGTCCTTCAGGTGTACAAAATGCACTTACTTGCCTTGCTCTAGATGTTAATGGAATGCCCCAGTAACCTTTTCACAAATCAAACTTTGACACATATGTAGCATGCCCTATTCGATCAATGCAATCGTCTATCGTAGGTAAAGGGTATGAATCTGATTTTGAAATGGCATTGACCTTTTTAAAGTTTGTACACAATCGTACACCTCCATCTGGTTTAGGTACTAGGATGCATGGAGAACTCCAAGGACTATTGCTAGGCTGTATGATGTTATATACCGTAGATGAACAGACAACTATATAATACTATCGTAACATTAACTTGTAACTAACTGTAACTTTGTCTCTTTCTCGTCTTTATTCAATGGAGTGACGTAGTGTGTCTTTTGGGTGACGTAGACGTCCTTTGGGTGTTACTTCTTAATCGGGGGAATTAGCGGTAGTAGAGGTCACGACTGGCTATCACCTTGAAGAACAGAGAAGGCTGTTGAGTTGATGGCGTTTATTCGTTGGAGGTAGAGTGAAGTACATTTAATTATAATGACAAGATAATATGATACGTGTGCAACACGTGTTCAGAGGTAGTCACATTCATATAATCGTATACATATAATTATAATAATTCGATACGTGTACACCACGTATGAACGGTATGATCATAATAATATAATCGGCATACAACAGGTAATGACATGACTATATAGATGTACAATATATTGTATTTTAAGGTTTAACAGATGGTTATGAAAAGGCATTTATTACGAGAAAATATGTCTGGTAGAAAACAGTACATGGACTCCCGCTGTCATGCGTGGATATTTAACAACATACTGTTATAACAGACAATATAATATAATGTTGGCCGACTCAGTTTTCATTGCTACTAAGTTGCAGGCAAATCATTATGAGTGTCACTGAATGTAGGAACGTACTTGGTTATTGACATTGGTGCACATACTCATATTGGGATGTTGCCGTGCAACTAGTATGCTAATATACAAAAATATACGTTCGCGAAAGGCAGTATTGTCTGGATATTAAGTCAATGATAGTTTTCATAACGCTACGATATAGTCGAAATAGATCTAACCTACACCTAACGTATTACGATCGTAGCTGACAGAATGTTAACATTTAAGTCAATAGTGTCTTACCTTGAAGAACAGAAGGCTGCTGAGTTGATGGCGTTTATTCGGTGGAAGCAGAGTGACATACATATAATCATAATAACAATCCGATACGCGTGCAACACGTGTACACAGGCAGTCATATACATATAATCATAACAATCCGATACGTGTACAACATGCATGGTCAGGATAATGATGTCATCAATATCTATATATATATGTCTTACATTTGTTTGCATAACTCTCTGACCAGCACCATGAGAAATGTTGAACCCGTCGGATATGCGTTATCGGGTTGACCCATGGCAGTCTAAATATAATGGAACGTGGTCGTTAGTAATAATCCTTTATTTCACATTTTCCAATTCTTAATGTCATTTAACTTAATTAAATGTTTGTCCATTTCCCCATCTTAATAACAAACATGTTTCAGAATATAAAGATAGAGCCGACTCATGTTTCATTGTTACTAAGTTGCAGACATTGTTCTGACTTGCAGACATTGTTCTGACTATCTCTGAATGTAGGAACCTGCTAGTTATTGACATTGGTACTCATACTAATATTGGGATATCGCGTGCGAATAGTAAGCTAATGTATTATGCATAAAATGATCGCAAGAGGAAGTTTTGTTAACGAGATATTTACCCATAACTTGCACCACGCTACGATATAGTCCAAACATAATCTAAACCTAACGTACTATGATCGTAGATAGCAGAATAAGTTAATATCTAAAGTCAATAGATTCTTATCTTGAAAAACAAAAGGCTGCTGGGTTCTTGGCGTTTTCATCGGTGGAAGCAGAGTGCATTTGCTACCACCGACCGCCGTACCTGATATAATTAACCTTATGACCTATATAATAACCTTGAACGGTTTGTTTGGTCTAGGCTGATTATAATACCTAGAATATGTTGTCTGGGAATAAGCTTGGGACAGCACTCCTTAAAACAACCTAGAGAAGCATCTGTTAGTGGCCAGTCTTTATTTGGTGGATCTCATCAGTGAGGAACCCGTTTTGGCTTGCGTGGGCGTGGTCCCGTTTTGCCTTGTGTGGGCGTGGTCCCCTTTTGCCTTGTGTGGGCGTGGTCCCCTTTTGCCTTGTGTGGGCGTGGTCCCGTTTTGCCTTGTCTGGGACTGGTCCCGTTTTGCCTTGTGTGGGCCTGGTCCCCTTTTGCCTTGTCTGGGCGTGGTCCCGTTTTGCCTTGTCTGGGCCTGGTCCCGTTTTGCCTTGTCTGGGCCTGGTCCCCTTTTGCCTTGTCTGGGCGTGGTCCCGTTTTGCCTTGTCTGGTCCCGGTCCCGTTTTGCCTTGTCTGGGCCTGGTCCCGTTTTGCCTTGTCTGGGCCTGGTCCCGTTTTGCCTTGTCTGGGCCTGGTCCCGTTTTGCCTTGTCTGGGCCTGGTCCCGTTTTGCCTTGTGTGGGCGTGGGCCCGTTTTGCCTTGTCTGGGCGTGGTCCCGTTTTGCCTTGTCTGGGCCTGGTCCCGTTTTGCCTTGTGTGGGCGTGGGCCCGTTTGCTACGTCACAATGACCAAGATAGTGGGGGAATTAACTTGGTAGAGCTGATTACTCGTCTAACAACTTAAAACAGAGAGAAGGCTGTCGAGTCTCTTTAAGTCTTTATTCGTGGCAGAGCTAAAATACATAACACAGCTTTGACCTAGATCAAGTTATTGAAACCGTCCGTTTTAAGGGACAGTTTATACCTAGAATTGTTACGGGGAATTAACTCCGGTATCTCCATGCCTTCCAAAACAGAGGTTCTCAGGCGAAATGCAGGAATTCTTCATTATATATGACGTCAAAAGGGCAACAACATACATTCAACAGCATCTCAGTATTCTTTTTCATAGTTAAGACATCACAATGAGAATTAACTAGTAAAGCATTAAGATATGAAATCAATTGTTAAGAAATGATAATGAGTTACATAAGAGTGGACTCGTTAAGATACCATGTTATAAACGCCATGGTCTCTTACAACATTGTGCTCAGTGAATGTCAATCATCTCATAGCGTACATCATTCATAAATTTGGACATAAGGATGATTTATGGTCAATTGAGCTCTTGATAACTTTTCAAACAATTGTCTATTGGCTCTCCTATACTCCTCCCACGTGTCTGTAGCGATTATGATGTCATCGATGTATGCGTAAAAGTGTTTCTCGTCACATATGACTCCATTTATCAAACGCTGAAATTTTGCTGGCGCATTTTTCAGACAAAAAATGGCATCACATTATATTCGAACAGTCCTTCAGGTGTACAAAATGCACTTACTTGCCTTGCTCTAGATGTTAATGGAATGCCCCAGTAACCTTTTCACAAATCAAACTTTGACACATATGTAGCATGCCCTATTCGATCAATGCAATCGTCTATCGTAGGTAAAGGGTATGAATCTGATTTTGAAATGGCATTGACCTTTTTAAAGTTTGTACACAATCGTACACCTCCATCTGGTTTAGGTACTAGGATGCATGGAGAACTCCAAGGACTATTGCTAGGCTGTATGATGTTATATACCGTAGATGAACAGACAACTATATAATACTATCGTAACATTAACTTATAACTAACTGTAGCTTTGTCTCTTTCTCGTCTTTATTCAATGGAGTGACGTAGCGTGTCTTTACGTGACGTAGACGTCCTTTGGGTGTTACTTCTTAATCGGGGGAATTAGCGGTAGTAGAGGTCACGACTGGCTATCACCTTGAAGAACAGAGAAGGCTGTTGAGTTGATGGCGTTTATTCGTTGGAGGTAGAGTGAAGTACATTTAATTATAATGTCAAGATAATATGATACGTGTGCAACACGTGTTAAGAGGAAGAGTCACATTCATATAATCGTATACATATAATTATAATAATTCGATACGTGAACAACACGTATGAACGGTATGATCATAATAATATAATCGGCATACAACAGATAATGACATGACTGTATAGATGTACAATATATTGTATTTTAAGGTTTAACAGATGGT